CCCAAGCCCAGGCACTGCTCGCACCCCAACCCCCAGCACAATCCCGTTTGCCGACTCGCTACGCACGTGGAGCAAAACTAACTTATTAATAATAATAATTGTTTCATGTGCGTTTTGGCTTGGCCAACAACTGCTCGTCTATTTGCTGGCCCGGAACATGTGTCACAGTTGCCGGATCGCTCGCCCCTTCCCCTTCCACGTCCACTCCACGCAGCGGGACTTAAATGTGTGTATTTGAAAAATGATTTTTAGCAGCTTAGCCCAGAGAACTGCACTGCAATCCATATGGCTGGGAAAAACCACGACTTCAAAACGCCAACTCCCCTAAAAAAAAAAACTCGACAGAAGAGAAACCCAAACTAGCTAACGCCGCTGGAGGCCCTTGCCATTTGACCAGGCTAAAATAGTCTAACAGTGCATATGCTCTATAGGCAATAAAGTTGATGGACTTACTATGGGGAAGTATATGTATGTATGTGAAACTGTATAATAGAGTGATTTATGCAAGATCAGTAAGTCCAGTATGATATATGAATGAGTATGGAAACTGAAGTTCTCTTAGGATAAGCTTCATATAAAGTTATTCCAATGGCTGTTCAATTGGGAATTTAGTTATAGAATATAGAATGATATCTATACATAGAGAGTATATTTGCATAAAATATATATTATACATATATCTATACAAACTCTACACATATTACTATACTATCATGGCATTACATAAATATATTCATCATCTAAAGAATCGGCATATATACGTCTATTTGGTTAAAGTTGCTGATGGACTACTCGGGCTAGAATCTTAATAATTATTGTAATTCTAATCAACATATTATTAACATTTAATACTAGCGTTACTTGCTTTAGCTAATTGCAATATTACAATTCTCAACTAATTTATTCATGGATTAGAATTCATAAGCTGTTATATATTCAAATGTTCAGTGAAATTTACGTAGATTTTTTTTTATATATATGTATACTCTGAGATTTTGCTATTAAACTACAAATTTCAATATTTTGTATAGCAAATTTGTACAAAAATCTATAAGCTCGAGGAGTCTAAGTATATAGAAAAAAAGTCTAATTTAATAATCACAAATATAAATTAATACATGAAAACACATATAATTTAATATATTAATGAAATAATATTCCTAATTGGAACATTTTAGTATATTCTCATATTAAACTTGTACGAAAATCTATCAATTTATAAGATCTATAAACAGAAAAACTATGTAAGAGAAAATAAAAGTCCCTTTAGAAGACTTTTAAAGTCTTCTTAACTAAAATATAAATCTCTATAAAATTGCTTAAAAAAACCTAACCAAGTAATCAGAAATAAAAATTAAACTACGTATCGCATATATGATATATAATATATTAGTGAAAGAGTACTCCCAATTCATGTACATAATTTGTCTGCATGTACATATGCTCAACTAACCGACTGTCCGTCTGTCCGTCCGTCTGTCCACTCGTCCGACCGTCCTTCTGTTAGTGTTGTTGTTTAACGACTCTGTACGACTGCTACCTGTTCGGCAATTGGAATGGAATAGAGTGGAATGGAATGGCATTGGAATGGAATGGTGTGCGGGTCGCCTAAGTGGCCTGCTGGTTGACCAGAGCCGCCGGAGACATTAATTTTATTGTTTTGACTGAGCGCGCGAGATCGAAATCTCGAGTCTCGAGTCTTGAGTCTCGCGTCTTGAGTCTTGAGTGTGTTCTGTGTGGCGCGCGGTTATTGATAGTTTTAAATTAGGGTCAACAATGCGCTGGAGCAGCCAGGTTCAACAGTTGCCCGGTTGCCCAGTTGCACAGGTTGCTGAGCTCTTGGCATGCTCCAGGTAGCAATTTCTTTTAATTACAAGCTCGGCTTTAAGCAGTCGTCGCCGCTGCAGGTGTTGCCAGGCAGTTAGCAGGCGCAACTAATGTCTAGATAATGGCTTCCACTGACCCCGCCGACAACCGGCGACCCCGGCAACCCCGGCGACTCCAGCGAGCAGCGAACAGCGACCCCCCCAGCGGACGGGCCTGACACACGACCAAGAAGTAGCACAGAATACCTCATCCAGAAGCAATTGGGTCTACGGTGGCAATTTGTAAGTATGAGCCACAAAATTAAATTTTAAGCGTTTTCTCAGTTGGTGGCGGAAGCTACGAAAATATACTTATCCAGAGAGAGACAGAGAGTGAGAGACAGAGAGAGAGAGAGCAACATAGATGCACACATGTATCTGGCTACTTTAATGGATTATGAAATAAAACAACGTGTCCATCAGGTGAACAAGCCCTAAGCCGCATCAAGGTCTACATATACATACATATCTTACATCATATTTGGTAATAAAAAATGTATGTGACAGGCAAGAGAAGACGGCGCCAGCCTCTTAAGCCTCATATATACACAGGTGGCACCGGCCAGTTGATCCAACTCTGCAGCTCTCGCTGTGTCCCTCTGTCTCTAAGTCTGTCTGTATGAAAGTGTCGATCTCGAAACCTACAGCAGTAAGAGGCTTGAAACCCTAGAAATGATTTTATGTAACTGAAATCTTATTAGACTTAAAATTACTTTTACCATTTCCAAAAAAAATGGTTATAATACTTTAGTAAATAGAGCGCATAGGACAAGTTTTCGCAACTAGAATTATATTATTCAATAACTAGACTCTCCTACAGGACTTTTTATTCATATTCAATACATATGTATATCTCTATATATGCTATGAATATCCCATTGATATCAGTGTTCAAAACTCCCTAAAAATTAAGAAAAGTCGAGCGCAGAGCAGAAACCATTAAATTTTCAAATTGTAAATCCCATTAGCAAACTCTTATCACAGCATGAGTTACAGAGTATCTGCGACTCGGATTCTTCCGTATTTAGTCTTTTTTGTCTTTTAATAAGAATGCTTTAAACGATGTATTACTAGACTTGATAGACCCATCTAACTATCTCTACCTATCTGCTTATTAGCTCGATTAACATTGATCTAATGTTCGAATCTTTAAGAGATAATATCCTTCATGTCACTAGTTCAATGTAGTTTAACAGAAGTCAAAATGTTTCTAGACTAGCTCAATCTTGCCTATACGAACTCAATATGTTTCATATAGGAACAAGATATGACAATTCGATTTCACTTATGTATTTGTTTATAATAGTCTGCCAATAGGGAGTGCTCGACTAAGGCGTAGCCCAATCATACCAAAGTCCAGAGCTTACATATGTAGTACTATACCCATTTATACATACATACATATATCGACTAATATAATCCGTTACATCCACTTATATGTATATATCAAGATATTCGTGCGTTGGATATAGCACTCCTCAGAACTAATGACCATACAAAAAAAATCTTGGAAAATCTTTTATAGTTTGTTATTGGTTTTTCTTTTTATTAATCACTTCTTAAGAGTAGTTTAGTTTTTTTTTTTTCTTTTTTTTTCATATCAGTTTTTGTTATTCTTTTTTTCTCATACATGTTCTAGAAAATATGAATTTGTTTTTCTTTTATTTTTTTTTTTTTTTATATTTTGCTTTTCTTATTTTCTCTCATTATTTTTACACACTTTTGGATGTTTGCTGGTAATTTGTTACTGTTGTTGTTGTTGTTGTTGTAGTTGTTTGAAGTTGCTATTGTTTGTTTGTCTGTTCGTTAGCTTTGCTATTTCATTGTACAATAGTTGAATATATCTGTGGGCAAACATGCACAAACCAATATGCCCGCTTGTATATATCAGCGTAATATAGGGTGTGTATACAACGCATATTGCACATATGTATATACTAATTATACATTATACAGATCTCTACATCAGTTGTCTCTTGTGTTCTATACATTGTTTCATTGTGTTGTTTTAGTTGTTTTTGCTTTTTTTTTTGTTTTTCATTTTATTTTCAGCTCGTCTTATATGCCAAAGTGCATATACGCTTAAGTTCTATATGCTTGTATGTGGGCTATATATGCAGGTAGGACATGAACCGTAAAATAACAAAGAGTTGCATACAAAAAATATCATAGGAATACATGTATATCAATATATGTGTATATATGTTTCTAGGTAAGTTCTATATATATGTATATATATATTTCTTTTCTTTTGTTTTGTTTTTTTTTTTTTTTTTTTTTCACAGTTTATTGAACTCAATCGGTCGTACATTAACTTAAAGGCAATAAATA